GATCATCATTTCAAACAATTGAAAGAAACACCGAACCCCTTGAATTAATTCATAGTGATGTTCGCGATTTGAAATTCGTACAAACGAGAGGTGGTAATAAATATTTTATTACCTTTATCGATGATAACACTAAATATTGTTATGTGTATTTGCTTAAAAGCAAAGATAAAGCCTTAGAGAAATTTATTCTCTATAAGAATGAAGTTGAAAATCAACTTAATAAGAGAATTAAAAGATTGAGAAGTGATAGAGGTGGCGAGTACGAAGTACCAACTGATGAATTCTGTGCACAACACGGAATTATACATGAAATAACTGCGCCTTACTCTCCTCAATCAAATGGTGTTGCTGAACGTAAAAATCGCACATTGAAAGAAATGATGAACGCGATATTACTAAATTCAGGTTTGCCTCAAAATATGTGAGGAGAAGCTATATTGTCAAGCAATTACCTTTTAAATAAGGTACCTCGAAAGAAAGAGGATAAAACCCCTTATGAGTTATGGAAAGGTAGGAGACCATCCTACAAACACTTACGAGTGTGGGGGTGTCTTGCAAAAGTGGCGGTTCCAACACCAAAGAAGACAAAGATAGGTCCTAAAACGGTGGACTGTATCTTTATAGGCTATGCACATAACAGTAATGCATATCGATTTCTTGTACATGAATCAAAAATTTTAGATATACACAAGAATACGATAATGGAATCTAGGAATGCATCATTCTTTGAAAATGTATTTCCTTGTAAATCCAATGATGGATCAAGTTCATCTAAACGAAAGAATGAAACTATGAATGAAGAAAGTCACGATTCGGCTCATGAAATTCATGACTCAGATCATGAACTAGAACCGAGACGTAGCAAAAGAGCAAGAGTGGAAAAATCTTTTGGAAATGATTTTCTAACTTATTTGTTAGAAAAGGAACCATTAAATTATGCAGAAGCTGTGAATTCCTCTGAGGGACCTCAATGGAAAGAAGCAATAAAAAGTGAAGTTGATTCTATTTTGCAGAATCATACTTGGGAGCTAGTGAATCTTCCTCCTGGTTGTAAGCCTTTAAAGTCCAAATGGATTTTTAAAAAGAAAATGAAAGCAGATGGCTCTGTTGATAAGTACAAAGCCAGACTTGTGATCAAAGGATACAAATAACGAGAAGGCTTAGATTACTTCGATACTTATTCTCCTGTGACGAGAATAACTTCCATTAGGATGATACTTGCAATTGCAGCATTGCGAAATCTCGAAGTACATCAAATGGATGTAAAAACAGCTTTCCTAAATGGTGATTTGGATGAAGAAATCTACATGGAACAACCTGAGGGTTTTATAGTTCCAGGACAAGAAAGGAAAGTCTGTAAATTGGTGAAATCATTGTATGGCCTAAAACAAGCACCAAAGCAGTGGCATGAAAAGTTTGATAATGCAATGATTACCAATGGTTTTAAGATCAATGAATGTGATAAATGTGTCTACATTAAAGAGACAACAAATGGCTATGTCATTTTGTGTCTTTACGTAGATGACATACTAATTGTTGGTAGTGATGATAAAATGATCAAATCTACCAAGTATATGTTGAATTCAAGATTTGACATGAAAGATATGGGACCTACTGATATGATTTTAGGAATTAAAATCACAAGAACACCAGAAGGTCTTATTTTAAACCAGTCACGCTATGTGGACAAGATTCTTGGAAAATTCAACATGAATGATTCTGGTATTGCTAGAACACCATTAGACAATAGTTTTCATCTTTCCAAGAATAGATGAGAGGGTATTTCTCAAGTAGAGTACTCTAGAGTTGTTGGAAGTCTAATGTACTTAATGAGTTGTACTAGACCAGACATTGCCTATACGGTTGGTAAGTTAAGTAGATACACAAGCAATCCGAGTGCTGACCATTGGAAAGCAATAGTGAAAGTATTCAGGTACTTACGATATACTTGGAATTATGGCACGCATTATACCGGATACCCAATGCTTACGGAAGGATATAGTGATGCGAACCTGGATATCGATATAAAAGACTCAAAATCTACTAGTGGATATGTATTCACACTAGCGGGGAAGCCCGTATCTTGAAAATCCCGTAAACAAAGCTGTTATAGTCGGATCCACAATGGAATCTGAATTTATAGCATTAGATAAAAGTGGTGAAGAGGCTGAATGGCTACGCCATTTCTTAGAGGATATTCCAAAATGGCAAAAACCTGTGTCACCAATAAGTATACATTATGATAGTCAATCTGCGATTGGAAGAGCACAGAGTAATATGTATAATGGTAAGTCTAGACATATACGTCGTAGACATAGTACCATTAGACAATTACTCTCAACATGAATTATCTCTATTGACTACGTAAAGTCAAGGGATAATATTGCGGATCCGCTAACCAAAGGGTTAAACAGAGAGTTAGTTGAGAAATCGACAAGAGGAATGGGACTGAAGCCCATGAAAGAATAAGTTGATATAAAGGAAACCCAACCTAGTTGACTGGAGATCCCAAGATCTAGGTTCAAAGGGACAACCTAATTATATAAACTTAGTGATGTCACTGTGGGGGTTATCCCTAAAACCATTCCTATATAAAATAACAGTGATATTGTAAAGGAAAGGATAGCATTTTTGCTTTAATGATTCTTAAGTGGAGTAAACAAATTACTCAAAATTAAGTAATCACCTATGTAAGAGAGAAGTGGGGCCGCTTCAAAGGAGAATTATTAGGGCTAAATTCTTTAGAAACTCTTGCAGAACCAGGTTGATGTTCATGGCCAAAATGAACATAACTATGAGAACTGAACAAACGTTTAGATGATTCCTGTGTGAAGTGTATGGTTCATTTACATAAGAAAGCTGGACAGGTTCAAGGACATCATGTCTCTCTTGGACAACTAGTAAAGTAAATATACTTTCACAAGGGAAGGTTCAAAGGGTAATACCTACCTATCCTATGCGGTTTCAATTGTTGAACACTATCACGAGTCAAAACTAAAACAATTTTCATTCATGTGGGGGATTGTTGGAAATATGGGATAAATTGATGGGTGAATGAATGAGAAATTGATGCTCAAAGAACACCCTTGAGTTGGAAGTGGGAAGTGGAAAATCACTATTCCCACATCGGAAATGAAAGAAGGCTATGGAGTGCTTTATATACAGTTACACTTATTTGAAGTGATAATTATCATAGCATAAACTCTCTGCCTCGCGCGCAGGCGCAAGGGGGGTGCAAATCCGACGCCCGACAAGTTGAAACTTGGGCGCGAGCGCACATCCCGCGTACACGATTGCAGGACCGAAAAGTGGGCCTCGCGACGAGCCCAATTTTGCCTTCTGATTTATTTTTCTTTCAACTCAAACAGTTACGAATTTCATAACGTACGACAGATTATCAGCCGTTATTCCCATTCGTATTGATCATATAACGGCAGATTTAATTGTCCGTTATTCGTATTGATTTTATAACGGCAGATTTAATCGTCCATTATTCGTATTGATTTTGTAACGACAGATTTAATCGGCCATTATTATTCCCGAATTGCTCTCCCCTCTGTTCCTTTTTATCGAAATCATTCTTCCTCTGGTTTTACACTCTCTCTGCATTTTTGCACTATTTTTCGGTAGTGTTCATTCCGAGTTTGTTCAAGTTCGCCGGAAGCTTGGAAGTGCCGTGCTCTCTTCTTCGCTGTCAACCGTTGTATCCTGGGAGACAGACGTTCACGAAACCTCAATCGCGTACTGGAGGGAACGAATCTGTTTTAAGGAAACTGTGTCAAACACAGGCCTCGGTATTCGTTTGTATCGATTCCGACTTTGTTATTGCAATTTCGTTTCTTTATAATTCTGTATTGTTTGTAATATTTATGCTAATGCCGATTTGAATTTCTTAACAAGAAGAAGACAGAGAAGAGAAATGAAGGGGCTGGTGATGCGTGGGGTTTCCGGCGAGAAAAAGGGGAAAGAAAAAGAAAAGGGAAGAAGAGGAAGGGAAAAGAGGAAAAGAGGAAAAGAGGGGCCCGTCCGTGAGCAAAGGGAAAAATGGGGAGAAAAATAACGGCGACGGATTTGACACGGAGTCGGGTCGCGCAGACGACGCGACGTCGGGTTAGTTGGCCCGATGGTAATTGATCTCAAGAGTCCAAACTCGCGATTCAGAAAAAAAAAAAAAAGATAATCACGATGCTAAACTTCCAATTTCATTTTCTTAATTTCCGTCGACGAGCACCCTAATTCATTAGGGTCCTTTAATATTTGGCCATGAAATTTTAGGATGCCACAGCGTACTTACAAGTTACACTCCTTATACCTCAGTATTGAAATTTTGCGACATGATTTATGCTTGAAATGATCGATGTTAAGCATCATAGTGTCTCTCCCGCAAAAAAAAAATAGGGTTAATACAATGAAAAACCCTAAACTGGTACATCTGTGATAATTTTACCACAAACTAATTTTTTTACCACAAAAAACCCCAAACTGGTATATCTGTGACAAATTTACTCCAAACTAATTTTTTGACCACTAAAAACCCTAAATTTGTACATTTGTGACAAATTTACCCTTCGTTAGTTTCCGTTAAATTGAATTAAAACCAAAAAAATCACAAACTGGTACATCTGTGATAAATGGAGGGCAAAATATAAAATCGATACATTATTTAACTGTTGCATGTCATTTAACAAAATAATTTGACAGTAAAATTTAACGGAAACAAACTAAGGGTAGATTTGTTACAAGTGTACCAGTTTGGGATTTTTTGTGGTAAAAAAATAAATTTAGAATAAAATTATCACAGATGTATCAGTTTAAGGTTTTTCGTAGTATTAATCCAAAAAAGTAACCGTATAAACCGACGTTCCGACCCCACGAGCCTCCCTGCCTTCCTCACCAAGTTGTTTCTTTACTCTTGCCCCCTCAAAGAAGGTGGGTAAAAGAAAAAGGCGAAATTCAACGAGAAAGGTGAAAGCTTTGGCGTGTTGTTTCCACTCGTGAGTGATAAAGCTTCGTTTTGTTCCCCACTTTCTGCGGTTGACGAATTCGAGCGTCGGCTTAGTTTTAGCTGTCTATCTGTAATCGTTCGTGGGATGTCGTGTCGTGTCATCGTTCTCTCTTTCATTTGATGTTCCCAGGTATGCGAATCGGAAGAGCGACTGCGTCTCCTCTGTTGCTTCTCACAGCCTCACAGGCACTGTCGCTTAATTGGGTTGCTGTGATTACTTCCATTTTGAGATTGTGATTCTGTAGGAACTTTAAAGCTGCGACCCTTTTTTTTTGTTTTCTTTCGTTTTCCACCTGTTGATTCTTATTTGCTGTTTCTGTGGCATGGCCATGAATTATTGTTGAGGGGTAGCGTTGTTACTTTCCATCGGTTTTGTTGATTACTTTGTGTATCGGTCTCGGGAGCCTCATGCCCTGACGACCCATCAAACCGAACGTTCCTCTGTGGGTGTTGCATCAACGGGTTTGCATTTGCTGATCCTGTGCCGTCCTTCCCCGCACCCTTTTGAATCGTAAGAGAAAAAGCGAGAGTTCTTTTGTTCGCTACTTGGTCGGGCTGCAACGAGAAAAATGATCATTGACGATTGAATTGCCCTTTTATTTGCTATTTGGTCGGGCTGTAACGAGAAAATTGATCATTGATGATTGGATTGCCGGTGTATGTCCTTGGTTTTGATAAATTTTTCTGGACATTCTGCCATCACGCAGGTCTGGAGCTTTGGGATAATGGGTTTCTCTACTGTATATCGGTGCTTGCAGGAGCTATTTCCACAGGTGAGGACTTAGTCTCTTTTAGTGGAAGGATCAGTGTTTGGCAGTCCAGTCAAGACATATCACTTATGATTATACTGTCCAGTGTTATAGCTGGTGGGGATTGGGGAACAACTAATGTCATGTGTTTGTTCATACTGTGGTAATTACGCTGTGAAGTGTAAGATGGAACAGAAAAGTAATTAAAGTCGTGTTTGTAGAGAATGGAGAGTTTAAGAAGTCCAAGTAGGGTTTCTCTTAGTGTAGTTTTCGTGGCCTTTGTATATCAGGAGGTTCCGCAGCTCCCTCAAACTTGTAGAGTTTTTGAAAGACTTCCTTTCGAGTTTGATCGATGACGCTTTCGAGTTCTTCCTTATGTTCTTATAGTATAACGCATATTTCTCATTTGATACAGCTTGATGCTCGCGCTTTGAAGGCAGTTGCAATTGAAAATTCTAAGGATGCGGATGCCGCTGTTGAGGTTGTTCTTTCAGAAATTCTTCCTTATGTTTCAGAGCAGGAAAAACCCCAGAGTGCCCCTTTTCAATACCTGGGATCATTTAATCTATCTGATGGAGAAGGTGATAGCTAGATTCGTTTCCATTTAGAGTGTTCAAACCATCTTTAATTGTCATTTCTGTGCTTCATGTGATTTTCTTCCCTTCAACAGTTAATTCAATTTTTTAAGGTAGTTTCCCTGAAGTATACAATAAGTGGTGTTCTATGTTGTTCTTTTTTCATTGTTTATAACTTCTTTTCTCATGAATAAAGGTACTATTGTTGATAAAATGATACCTTAGATGTCTGACTAATTATTCGGTCATGCCAATGTAAAGTTCGATCTGACCAACCGAGCTCTTTATCGAGGCGCCAAAGTATGCCTAGGAAAGCAAATGCAGCTTCTTCAGAATCAAAAGCAGCTAGCAGAAATGGCGATACCATATCTAGCAATAGCAGTCTGCTTGAAAATTATCCAAGAACCGGTCAGGAGGCATCTACCTCCTGCAGCAATGACAAGAGAGGTCGAGTTTTTGAGACTGATGAACTGATTGCATTGGAGACAGATCGAGTGCGAGTAACCAGAGTCATTGAGGCTAATCAAGCTCCAGATGTCCGATTAACTGCTGAGCCGAAACCACACAGCCTGACTGAAAGTGCAGAAGTGATTTTGCTGGGGACAATTAATCAGCCGCTTGCCATTCCTGGGAAGACTTTGCACGTTGGACCAGCTAAATCTAGTGACATCTCTAGTTTAACAATCGCAGATGCAAAGTTTAGTCAAAGAAGTTCTCGTGGCTCTCAGGCGGATGATTGTAACATGAGTAAAAGTGAAAGTAGCTATCGATCAGAATCAACTTTGACTAGCACTTCTATGAAGACAGGGCACTCTGGTTGTGAGCAAGCATTAGAGCATCCTTTGGTAGCTCCAATGGATCTTTTGGAAGGTGATACCATCAATCTTGTAAGTAACAATACTGGTGAAAAAGCAGAAGAAGATGCTGCTGCCTCGAAACACTATTTTGGAGAGGAGTCGCCCTTGAAGTTGAAAACCACCTACTCTGGCGATGAATTTTTCAAGCAGATCATTGAGAATGCTCAAGCATACAAAGTAATATCTGGTTAAACCTTTGATACTTGTTAAGGACTAATGCCACTATTTATTTATTATTATCAAGCTAGAATGTTTTATCATTGCTCAATGCTGCAGACTACCCTTTTCTCGGCGATGGATTTGGTCGTCAACCTCATGAGAGAAGTTGAAGAAAAAGAGAAAGTTGCAAAACAAGCTAAAGAGGAAGCTTCTTCGGAGGGACATGATATTTACTTTAGGATTGAGGAACTCAAACTGATGTTAGCGTATGCAAAGGAAGCAAATGATATGGTTGTTAGTTTCTTATTTACATCTTGTTGAACCTTTGAATTGTTTTAAAGTGAACATAAAGCTGATTCATTTTCTACTTTTGCAGCATGCAGGTGAAGTTTATGGAGAGAGAGCTATTTTATCGACTGAAGCAAGGGAGCTTCAATCTCATTTACTCAGGTTGTTGGATGAAAGGGACAAATCTCTTGCAATTATTGTTCAGGTGCTTCAATTTTCTTTTTGGTTTAATCCAGTTGACCTTGAGCTGCCTCCTTTGAAGTCGTTCCATTCTTTCATGTTGCCATTATGCAGACACGTTTAATGGTTTAGATGCAATCTAAATGTAATCATGGTATCTTCTTTTTGTTCATCATTACTCCAGCTAGACAACATAATTTTGTTAGTTACCTTCTTTGTCTCGATATCTGGTTATCAAAGCATCACGTTCTTAGATCTTGCAAGTTCTTTGGTTGGTGAAATCTGAAGATTCAGTTTTTGAGTTGTGAAAAGTCTTGGGTACATTTCCCCCAGCCAAAGCATGTATGGCTGTTTTTCCTCAGCATTCAGTTTTGGTGGTTAACTTCTTTCTCTCGATGTCTGGTCATCAATGCACCACATTCTCAGTTCTTGCAAGTTCTTTGGGTGGTGAAACCTGAAGACTCAGTTTTTTAGTTGTGGAAAGTCTTGTGTACATTCCCCCAGCCATAGCATGTATTTTGGTTGTTTTTCCGCAGCATTAAGTTTGTCATTCTCTGAGGCAAGAATTGACCCTTTTCGTAGTTTTTCCAAACATACCCTCTATTTTTCAGTCTTCCATGTGAAAGGATGACTTTGATAAATAGATTATTGAAAATGGAGTTTCAGAGGTTTGACTCTGACATTAGCCTTTTTTACCTTTTCTTCTTTTAATAGCCATTTCCATGTTTCTGCAGATGCGCCAAGAACTTGAAATTCGATTTTCTGCAGCAGAGGATTTGAAAAAAGTTGCCAAGAAGGAAAAGCTTGAAAAGGAAGCCACTGCTCAACGTGCTTTGGCTGAACAGCAAGCTCTCCTGGAGAAGGTGCATCATGAGTCTAAGTTATTACAGGAAGAGGAAGAACGGAACAACAAGGTTGCAACTTTGCAGAAAAAGCTTTACCATTATAGTTGTATGCATCTATGCAATGGAAATATCTTAACTAAATGCAATTTTATTATATGTTTGGAACAGCTGCGGATGTTTCTCATGGACCATGGCCGTATTGTTGATGTACTCCAGTAAGTTTTTTCTGTTACTGTTATTTATTTTATGGGTCATGTTTCTGGGAATTTCCTCCAACCAATCTAGGTGACATTAATCTAGGCACTTGTTTCCCATTATGTGTGCCACGAATGTCATGGTGTTTTCACCCTTAAAACTCCTACTACATTGTAGCCATAAGTTGGGCGCTCGGTGAACAACATATTGGCAAGTCTCATTACATTTATCATAAGCAAATACATATTTTATTCATAAATTGTTACATACCAGTAAAATCTACATATGTTTTTCTTAATCTCTATGTAATTCAAGTTTGAAAAGGCCGAAACATCTCTGTTGCAATGTATACCCAAACACATAATAATTTCCCAAACATCAAGTCCTCATGTCCTTGTAAGTAGCATGATGGTAGTCTGAGCGATATCTTGTCATAATTACAATCAAGAATGACAAAAAAACGCAACTGAGGACATTTTTTGTTAAGTAAATATCATTACCTCAAGTAATTTGGTAAGTGAAAAGCCACCGAGAGATGAAGTGAACTCAAGATACAAATTTGAATAAACTATGACACAAAGATAATTAATCTATCACCCTTGCTCTTGAGTGAATATGCGAAGAAAGAAGAAGAAAACAAACAAAAAAAAAAGGTAGCAAACTAGAGTATCTGCTTTGAGTCTCTTTATATCATCTTTTGTTGTGTTCCGTCTCCTTGAAGAAAATGATTGAACTTTGCTGCTTAGAAGAAAATTAACCAAAGATATAATAGAGCACTAAGGAAAGCGGTCTTATGTGAGTAAGAGCGACAAGCGGGTGACTAAACTTTTAATGAAAGCCCTCCATGTGTCTGGTCAAAGGAAGTTTCGTCCAACCTAGGTTGAAGAAAACATGACCTTATTATAATATCATTTGTTAGGGTAATCAGCAATGTGTTATGCTTGATTTGTAAGCTTTTATTAATCCTTCCTTTTTCATTAGTAGTTTTTCCCCCTTTATCTCCTAGATTGATTCGTAAACCAGTACAAAGAGTCTGAAGCCAAACCACCCATCTGCACCATACCGCTGATAAGCTGTTTTCATCTCAGAGATATCTTTACAAAGTTGTAGGGACTCTTTTTTCGCATTAGATATATGCTCTATGTTGTTTCCCTAACGGTCGAACTTGAACACACCGGTGACTTTCCAGTGTTACGAGAGTGCCAACTTGAGGAGATCTGTCAGTAAGTGATTTTGTCTTGGAGATCTGTAAGCAATTTTGTCTTCGGACGTCATTGAAGCAAAGGCTTTAAGATGCATTGCGTTTCTCATGTGCATTATATTATATGGCCTGCAATTTTTTTTTACTTCGAAATATCAAATGACCTCTTGCTATATTCCTCTAACGACACATCTGCAGAGGGGAGATCGCCATCATCTGCCAGGATGTGAAGTCACTGAAAGAAAATTTCGATAGGGGTGTTCAGTTGAGCAAATCCGTTTCCTCGAGGAAGATGAGTCACATCACATCTTCATCATCCAGCTCAAATTTAAGCAGTATTTCCACTGATACGATACCTGAACGAGGCAAAACTTTAAATATTCCAAACAAGATAGGACCTCTGAACTCAATTGATGACATTGGGCTGGAGGATGAAGCATGGGAATTGTTCGAAGGTAACTGAGAATCGTAAACCCGACTTGCAAATATGACATGTAATGTGAATGGAAGATTTGACTGATATTACTCCTCATGTTGTGCTGTTTATAATATGGCTCCTGTAGTTTCAGCCCAAGGTCTATGTTTTGCCTGTTCTGTGGCTTAAAACAATGGTTTGTCCATCTTTCTCTGTACCGAAAGTATTAGTAGTCATTGAACAGTTTGCAAATGCATTGGGAGTATGGGATTTTTAGACTTCATGGAATTCAGGGGTCTAGTTTTCCCTTTTTTCTCGTATAGAAATGTGAACATCAAAATTGGATTAGATCTAATTGAAGTTTTCGATGCTAAATGATCAGATTAGTAACTCACCAAGAATGATGCTCATGTCAAGCTGAGATTTTCAACCCGTTCAAATGTCATAAGATAAATTACACAGCAAACTTTTCTGTCAGAAGAATAGATGTGTTGAATTACATGAGATTATTAACCCTCTCATCTATCACTCTAGGACCTTTGGTTGGGCATGTTTTTGCCATTCAAGTTGGGTTAACTTTTGGGTACATATTGTGCAGTTCAATTTTTTTCCTTAAAAAAAAGAGTGTTTGATTGCAACTCCCTGGGAACTCAATCCAAGCATCAGCAAAACTAACACGTGCCTTTCTTCATTCCTCACCGTCCTCGACAATACTCATTAGTAGTCCCTCGAGACCAAACAGCATGATACAATCAGCAATTCCCAAAACCCACCTCATCATTTCTGAACTGGTGAACGACAGCGGACTATTCTAGCGTCAGGAGCATAGTGATGACAAAATACAAGTCATACAGTCGACAACGAAACAGCATCCCAACCATTATTAACAACTGACACCAGAAAAGATGGCCATAAAATGCATACATATTGCAACAAAAACTCGTATGCTAAACACATGAACAAATATAAACAAACTGAAAAAGCAGCTGCCTCAGACTTTTATATCGCCTCTTTACATTTCCAACAGGTTCCTCCTGTAATGCAAGGTACATCATGCCTCTCCCAATGCCTTCTTTACGTCCGCCTGCGTCACATGTATTATTTGACAGGGGGCTATGACAAATTCTTCTAGGAAAAACTATCTGAAGGCGCGTGTGCGGATGATCTGCTAACTGGGAATCTATGTGAAGTGAGAAAGAAAGAAAGTACCTCAATGGCCAAAGGAGAGGTGGTTGGGCTATAGCGACTGATAACACGCCCCTCCTTATCAACAAGGAACTTCGTGAAGTTCCATTTTATTCCTGAACCCAAAAATCCTGATTTACTTGCTTTGAGGAACTTATAGACAGGTGCTGTGTCGGGTCCGTTAACTCGTACCTAGAATCAAGCAACAACTCAATACATTGGCTAATTGGATGAAAGTAACTATTGTCAGACAACCAGATGCGTCAGGGCTATTGAGCTACGTAGCTATTAACATATCATATATATAATAGGTGCACTTGAGAGAGATTGTCAACTAGTATAGTCGTAAATAGAGCAAAATGAGAAGGAAAATTCAACAGCAGTCGAGTGATGCCAATATGAAAATTAGAAGGAAAAACGAAAGGCAAATCTAGAATTGATGGACATGTACCAATAGCTATCGACTGAGGTTTTTCCCAACAAAACTAACATCTCGAAGGACGGACATGTTACCCCCAAAGACAATATTCCGGGGTCGCATTTGAGTAGGACACCAACCTTTTGATACCTTACATCTGATGGATTGAAGTGTGCAACTCCTTTCGGCTCTTGCACTCTAACCTATCGTCAATAAACATTCTAACCCAAACCTGATGTGTTTACCTACTATAACAGATTTCAAGAGAGCAAGTATAATCAATCTAATAAACTTTGTCTCTATTATAAGCTCACATTCAAAGAAGCAATGATCGCTATGTTAAGGAGATAGTTTTTTCTAGCTAACAATTAATTTGAGTCATGGACCGGCCAACAAACTCCTGAAATTGTTACCCAAGTCAGGGACCATGATTTGAATGCTTAACTAAGATTTAACTAAGAGCATACCTATATAAAGATTATAGTTAGTTGCAGTTAAATGCAAAGGAGACCAAGTTAAATAAAAATAAATTTTCTCAGGCCAATGGTAAACCTTGGCAAACATATACGAACAAGAAAATCCACATCGTAGGAGCAACAACAGTCATAAGGTTTTACTCATGCATCTGTACAGGATGAACTGACAGACAATCATAAGTTTGCAAGGTTAACTATTTTTCACCAAAGTCCTATTGTGATACAATATAGAAACAATCATCCACATCACTTGCGAATCCAAGCTACAAAAAGCGTAAGCTCGCAGAGCAGCAATTCTTACCTTGTGGAAGATCGGGTATTCAGCTTTGTATCTTGTGCATGCAAATTCTTGTGCCACCTGACTTGTTCCAGGCTCTTGTTTCAAAAATTGATTGCATGGAAAAGCCAAGATCTCCAGACCTGAGGCACCCAACAATACCGAAGTCCTCTAACTTTAAGCAATTCTATGATAAGCAAAGGAAATAACAAGATCTCAACTTTTCATTCGCAGCAAAATTCACAACGCGACAACTTTGGCCCCTTAAAGAAAAGATACGTGATGACTCCCTCGACATTCATTAAGGACCTCAAGAAATCAAAGAATCCTATCGAGCCATGAAGTCTCAAAAAGATTTAGATAAAATCCTCAGCATCAACAGACAAAAAGCATTGAATTTAACCAATTCATGCCAGTTTCTAAAATTCCCTCCGTCTGATACACCTCTTTTCATCAGCAAAGCAATCGTTTGCAAGCAAAATCCCAGATACCAGCACACCACCCAAAGTATCATCACCAAACAGATAAATTTTGCGAAACAGCGTAAACCCAAAAGCTTAAAAGGACAAGAACAGGAAATAAAAGGGACCAAAAAAAACCAACCTTGGTCTTTGTACTTGTTGTGAAGCTGGGTAAGCTGCGTATAGTTGGAGTTCGTGAATCCACTGTTTCCAAACCAATCAACAACACCAAATATAAACCGATTCCACAAGAACAAACTAAAACTTTGAGAAGGAAAACCCACGATCGAGGCTTGAAACAGGGGATTGGCAAGAGGCATACCATTTGGAGGCAACGTTAACGACGAGAAGGACCTTCCCTTTGTACGCGCTCAAGTCAACGTCCTTCCCTCTACTATCCTGCTCCACCCACAATACAACACAACCCCACAAAAACCCCGTCAGTTTTTCTCCTCATCTGCATCATCGCCGCGGGTGCAGAGAAAGGCACCTCGTCAAAATGAGTTTCTCCGGTATTTACCTTGACGGTGAACTCGTGGATTGATTTTTCAGGGACCGACTGCGAAGCGCCCATCCTCGCTTCGTGTGGACGGAGCTCGAAGATTGGGGGTGGGCTTTTTTATCTATTCGTGGAGAAGATTTTGTTCGAGGTGCGTGCGCGATGGTTTTTCTTTCCTCCTCCTTTTGGGGGGTGGGGGTTCAAACGGAGGAGGAAGAAGAAGAAGAAGAGGAAGGAAAAACGTCGAGAAGAGGAGACTGTTGTGAGTTGGCCAATTGCCTCGTCATACTCGCTGGCAAAGCTCTTGACTTGATTAGAGGAAACCCGCGTGGGGTCCGCTGCATCTTCTGTGTTTCTTTTTTTTTTATTCCGTATATAATGATGTCCTTATCAAGATAGGAAAAATTCCAATTAAGGACTCACTTGGGGTCAAATTCTTAAAAAAGGGTCCAAAGTGAATATTGTGTCAAATAAGGACATAAAGTATTTAATCAGTCTCAAATAAGGATTCAAAGTGCCCAAAAAGTCTCAAATAAGGACCTGGGTCCTTGGCCGGCCAAAATACCTACCGGCCGGCGAGAAAGTTACTGTTCCGACACCGGAACAATAACTTTTTAATTTTTTTATTATTTTCTTTCTATTTTTCCTTTTGTGTTTTTTTTCTTTTTTTTTTCGTTTTCTTCCTCCGCCGGCCATAGCCGGGGCCGGCGGAGGTCGCCGGCCTCAGGCGAGGCCGCCCTCGTCGGCGTCGGGCGAGGGCCGCCCTCACCTGGGCTAGGCGAGGTCGCCCTCGCCGGCCTATCAAGATATCACCGAATTGAGAGTTAAAGTGGGACAAATCAAAAAAAAAAAATTTGGAGAGCAAAAGGATCTCTCTCTCGTGAAGTTTTTGATGCATGATTTGATTTGGCTTCCATCGACACCTTTTTTTTCCTTAATTCGCATTTGGGGCAACGACAAAATTAGTTTCAATGTGTAATATCGTTCTTAAACTTTTAATTTGTTCAATACGGTCTCTAAAACTTAGCTTAATGTGCAATGCGGTCCTTGGACTTTTGATACATGTTAATAGTTCAAGGTCAAGTTGAACATGTACCAAAAGTCCAAGGATCGTATTGAACAAATTAAAAGTTCAAGGACTACATTGAATATCGAGCTACAGTCCAAGCAACACATTGAACAAATTAGAATTTTAGGGACCACATTGCATATTGGGCTAAAGTTCGAGAATCATTTGTGTTATTTTCTAAATTTAAAACAAAGAGATCTAGTGAAGTTTTTATGCGCGATTTGGCTTCCATCGATACCTTTTTTCTATTTTGCGTTTTCTTGCTATTTCATTCATCATGGTTCCATGTGTGCCTTACGACATTTTTTGTTTCATGAAGACAGATTATTGTTGGGACCACATGGAATTTTTCTGCTTTACCGATTTAAATGATTCTCTTGAGGGTCTTATGAAAATGAATATTTCAAACCTTTGAATGAGGATAAATTTTGAGCACTTTCGACTCATCCGAGAGGGGTGAGTTTATTCGGATGCAGCTTGGCCCGGACCTTACATACACGCTCTAGAATTTACCCTTTTGGAGAAAAGAGTGATTTCAATGGATACCTCATTGTGATTATGCCGTCAAACACAGTTCAAACCCCGTTAATCTTTCTAAATTAATATGACAAAGCCGGACCGGAACGATGCCATGATCCTTGTCTCCATGCTTTAGGGGCCCTTTTCGTAACATCAGAGCAGAGGATGAGCAAATCTTTCCCCTCTTCTATTGTTTGTTTCAACGTGGGTAAATGTCGTTGGCAGTGGTCTCGGGCTTTCGCTGTCACCCCAGCTGCGTCTCATCGAACGACAACGAAGGCACGTCTAGCATTAAAATGATGCTTCAGTTGCCTTTCTAGCCGGGTGGGGAACGGCGGATTGAGCTTGACTGTCTTCAGATCTCTGTCAACCGCCCCATTGAATTATGGTCCCGTTATCCTATCACATGTCCACGGCCCCCTCCCAAAAAAGATTAAAAAAAAAAGGAAATCTCCAGCAGACAGACTAATGTGAGATCTCTGTCTGGTCCTTTCGACACTTCAAATTGGCCTATGTAAAGGGATAGCACCTAGACAGAGATTTAGGACGGCCGATGTTTATCTCAAACCCGCCCCACCAGCAACCGAATATTTCCCAAACCCGCCCCAAACTATATATAGGATTTTGTAAAGAAACTCTAAATCTGTCCCGCTTTAGTTATCGGGTACCCGCCAGATTTTCAACGGGTTCTCGAAATCGCTACAGTTGTTATTATTTTTTCCTATACATATTTTTATTTGAATATTGCCTAACATAAAATAAATAGTGATTCCACATTCGCTGACATGCAAATCCAGATCATGCAACCACTTACAACTTCATCTGATTCGTTTGAACAGACATTGGTCTTCTTTGTATTGTTTTACATGGTCTACGAATCCCCAAGTGGCGAAAACCGTGAAACCAGCAGGTCCATTGCCAGTGGCTAACAAAGAGACAACAGAGAGAAACAGCTGTACGCACCGCTTCAGTAGCAACTAAAACTAGAAGCCCTCTCTCACTTCACCCGACCCTAGCAGAATGAGGAACCAGTGAAGAGGGCACGCACCAACAAAAGCACGATAGAAATGGATCAGCCAATTTCTTGGATGCGCCCAAGGATTCCATCCGTCGTTTCACGCCCGAGGCATATGTGCACATAAATATGACCTCACTCCTTTTGGTAAACTAACTACAAACCAAGACGGAGACCATCTCAATTGCATCAACATGGAATGACAGAGAAAGGTTATGGAATGATGCCCTGGGCCACAGGCGCTCCAGGAAACAATTGATTTTTTATCCTGCAATTAAAGTTGAAAGGGTACAAAATTTTTGTACATTTCAACCTAAGAAGAGTTAGTTACAGCCCTCCCCTCTCTCACCCTCCACCCCCAACCTCACATGTGACAGTGTGTCGTCGCTCGCTGCCTTCTTCCAAAGGACATGATAACAATTATAGCTATATACAGTTTGACATGAAAAGCATGCCATTCTATACCCAACCCTTTGCAGCCTCTTGTCAGGAAATACCTGCTTTGCACGGTCTTGGAGAACAACCAAGATCAGACCCTCTAAACCCTGATCAAAAGGGGGTTGTACCTGTATCAGTGATGGCGAATAATTATTATAAACCATACTGATAGAAAGGAGAATCGTCCCCCAAAACCAGGATTAGTATGACAAATACCTGCAATTTTGTCTTCATAACCACCGTCTATTCATCTAGGCCGCCAAAAGCTGGGAGCTGAAAAATCAGATCAAAATATCAAATATATTCGAGAAATGTCAATACATAATCCAAGTAACGGACTTTAATAAAAGGAAATCTGAAACTAAGTCACCTTCATAGGGTGGTGGTCTAAATGGCACATGATTTCTGTGATTCATTGGTCGAGGAGGACAATCCCATCCATGGTTTGGGAACCTTGTTGGCTCACATGGCGGGTAGTCATACTGATCAGGTCCATAGTTTTTTTCTTTATCATGATACCGTGACCCTAAAGCAAAAAGTAATATTTGTTTTAAGACAGAATGAAACAAAAAGGAATACGCAGTTTTATACAAAACTGATTTCAATGCTGGGAGAAATCTAACCAGAAAAAGGTGCTGAAAATCTCCAGTTCTCTCTGGTCTCATATGGGGGTGGTTTCATTCTCTCATGATTATTGTAGTGATTCCCACTGCCCCTGTTATGTGGAAAGTGGAACCTGTTGTGGGAAGGTGGAGGAGCCTCCCTACGAGACCTGGTCCGCTGGTCTGAATGGACATAAGAGAACTGATTTGGTGGAACAGCATGAGGTGGCCTCATAGGATAAGGTTTATGGTTCCAGGCAACATCATCCGCATCGTGACTATTGTTACTCACAGATCTCCTGCCATAAGAGCTTGTAGAATCAGATATATGCATATGCTTCTGTCTGTCTCTGCACTCGGGAGCATGAAGATGGACTCCGCCAGACACTCTAGGGTCAACTCTCGGTGGGACAGGCTGGTGACAAACTGGTGGTCCCATATTATCCTGAAGATTCTGCCCAGATGCCAAAAACCAACAGGAAGAATACTTTTAAAGCATTACCTTTTATCCAAAGATAAATCAGCATAAGCAAAAAAAGAAAACACCCTATCAGTTCCCTTAGTAAAAAAATTAGCAAGATAAAGTGTATAGTGGTATAGACTCACATGAGCATTTGCATTAACATGATGATTGGCCGCACCGGCAAGACGATCTGAAATTGTGGAGCCAGAGTGGAATGGTGGATGAGACGGTGGCGGTGGCGGTGGTGGAAGTGCAGGTGGTGGTGGTGGCGGTGGTGGTGGAAGCTGAATAGGGGATGAAGGCAGAGGTGGAGATGCTGGAAGCATGTCTCGAGGAGCAAAGGCAGGCGGAATATGTTGCTCAATATTCTGTGGATTCTGTGCTGAACCCACAATACCATTTGTCAAGTTCATCTCAACTTCAGAAGGAGCCACATCTTCCATCTCGAGTTCAACATCAACATCCTGCAGAATATGTCTATGCTTTGCTATAGCAGAGGTCATTTCCTGCTCGGGAGCTTCAGAAGTGTGCTCAGGGGTGACAGCTTCAAAACTCTCATCAGAATCACTTCCTTCATCTTCGTCTTTCCGCATTCGAGGCATGCAGAATCCGGGAAGCTGAAAACTTGAATTGCTGAGACAATAAAGTGATATTGTTAAGCAATTTTTCCAACCAAAGACGATGGAATAACCAGAATTCACCCAAGTAAAATGGTACGAACCTGCCATATTCATCCACTAGCATCCCCTCCATTTCTCTAATAGGATCATCAAAAGATCTTTCTGTTCTTGAAGAGCGACGAGAATAGGGACCAGCTGAAGACGAACCACTCATCATATCAAGCTCTCTCATGTGATGACGTATGATGGATTCTGGCAAGATCTTTCTTTCTAGCCAAAGTCTCAAAACCTAGAATGCATAAAACCCATAGGTAGAACATAAAAAAGAAAACAGCTATACGAACAAACCAGCCACTAAATCCCATCTTCAGCAGGGGTTGCCAGGGCAAAGGAACAAGAGAGACACCCCCTGTCATCTGCCCAAAGCCCCCAGCCATTAGACCAAAAAAGAAGGAAACTCACAAGCCTTTCTCAGATTCATCATAAGGGGAAAGAAGACAAGTAAAGAAAGAATCCTGTACCTTAAGACACTGTTTTCGATTTTCGTGTGAAGTATTTCCAGGTGGAGCAGCAGCTGCCAGCAATCGTGACAACAGTGCCTGGATAGCTGATGGATATGCACCACCCGCCTCACCTAAGAAATTCAAATCAACCCAATCTTCACCACGTTCATTTTACAAAGAAACAGAGTTGACTTTTCAAGCATGAACTGTGGAAGTTCAATTGTGACAAAAATAGAGGCATTACCTTTCAAACCTCGGGAGCACTGCATTATAGAATCGACCAGAAAAAACAAGTCTACTCTTCGGTGTAAGCTCAATTCACTCTCTAAGTTACGGGCTAGCACTTCAACCACCTAACAAAGAAGTCAAGTAAGATATTCATACGCCTAAAAATTATAAAACAACTAAAATTATTCATTTCATCATTCTTTCACTCTAAGACAAAACTCTACAAATTAATCATGACAAACAAAAGTTTTGTCAAATTATATCAAAAATAGGTCAAAATATTTATACTTGTGTACGGCTTCAACTAGTCAATTCACCGTACATTATATGCTACACAAAACGAAGGGAGTAATTTCCTTATCATCACAATGACAATTTATATCAGTAGCACTCTAAAATGACCGCACTGTGTGAAATTTCTTGAAATGATTCCCAAACTTTGCAACAATGGAAGGCCAGAAGATATTTTGTAAATCTTACACCAAAGCGGACTATAGATATGATATTTAAAGGGAAGACAGACAAAAAGGTCTGTTCATTTTCTTCTTTCTAACTCTCTAAAATAAGATCGTTCAATGCCAACCCACAAAACCACCAGGAAAGGAACACAAGGCCTTGACAAAACAACTCTAGAGAAGGAAAATCCAGCATACACATCTTCTCCACAAAATGAGCTTGGGACAATAAAGAGCTCAAACTCATACAGACAAAGCTCAATCCTGAATATTGTCACATTATATTAGTCTGATTGTGATCAAGGTCAACAAACCTAATATATTAAAATTAGACCCATCAAACGGGCGGGCGGGCGGGCGGGCTGGGCAAAAAATGGTCCGACCCAAATAGACCAATTTAACCCATTTTGACCCATTTCCATGCAATGCAAATATAATGATCTATACCCGACCCAACCAATATTATTAAAACACTTCCACATTTAACCCAATCTAGGAAAATTCATACCCATACTTTGGTGAGAGTACGGAGTAAGTGAACACGAGATCGAATGAGGGCAAGAGAGAATGAAGAGAGAGTCATAGAGGTGGGTTGGATCTAAGTAAATTGTAAAACCCATTTATGACTCATTCAACACCCATATTATGTTTAAACCCATTTATGACCTACTTACTTAATATAACTAACCTATATAACAACTAAGCCCATCATATATGGGTTATGCAATGGGTCTACAACCCATTTTGAATGGTCTAATTTTTTTTTTTTGGGTCTATCCTATCTCTAACTCTCCTCGCTCTCTGACTTTTGCTCTGCCTCTTGCAGAGCGTAGGAGTCGAACCCCGCATCTGTGATACTAGCGTCCCCACCCCCCCAATCCCTTTACCAGCAGGGCCGCATGCCTATTGGCTTGACAAGTCTAATTAGAATGAGAAGTTTTACAACACTTGCGGGAAGGAAAATTTCTTAAAACAAAAGGCTAACACAAAGAACCAAGAAATGTTGATCAATATCAGAACTCACCTTAGTAGTGGCACCATACTTTGCACAGTCAATAGCTACACGTGTTGCTCGGCCAATGCTCTCCTTTGTTCTTGTTAAGATTCGCAACACAGCCTCAAAAGATGACAGCAAAGCGTGGGCATCTGAAGAGCTCCCCTTACCCACAGATCTTGGTTGTTGAGTCATGGACTCAAGTTTGCCTTCACAATCAGCTAAACCATGCAAAGCTTTTTTCTGAGGCAAACTGACCACAGGGCTTGCACTTCCATTACTTAGGGTAAATTTACTGCTATCTGAGGTGGACATATTGCACAATGCGGAACTTGGTGGAGATGCTCGCTGAGGTGTTTGAGGTCTATCAGTCGAAGAAGCGCTTGAAAAGGCAATTGAGTTTTCTTTGTCAGATAAGTGACCATTAGGAAAAGAGGCATTATTTTTGTCCTTGGGAGCTTGTTTATGTCGGCCTTCAGATGCAATATACCTAATAGATAAAGCAACAACAGACATTCAAATATATCAAAAGGGACATTGAGCCCAGCAGATTATGGAAGACAGTAATAAGGAATTAAGCACATGCATTCGCATGAACAAAATTCATGCAGGTAAGCATTGCACCCAAGCATGCCATACCAGTTAGCAGATGAAAAACTAGAGTTAAAGTTGCAGAAGAGACAAGGAGACATGCACGATCAGATCAGAAGGCAAGACTTACAGATTGGACAAAAGAAAGATGCATGCACTAAAACCTAAGTGTGCGCGCATGTGAACCATAACAGCAGAACAAACCACCCCCCCCCCCCCCCCCCCCCCACCCCCACCCCCTTCTCTCTTTCTCTTTCCTTTTCAGCTCCTCTTCTCCCAAAGAAAAAAAAAAGAAAGAAGCACCCTCTTGGCAGGCCCTGTAGGGAGGAACCCCAGGAGATTGTTCCGCTGCACTAATAATCTGTAATAGGTTTACCTCTCTAAAAGATTTCATAACCATGACAAAAAATACCGGTGACAGACAAGCATAAGCATCCTATGATGAGCACATTTCACTCAAATCATCCAAGTTCATGCACTAAATTCAACTAATTAATTTGCTTTTTTCACTTTATCTTCGAGAAGCCACATCTTACGCTTTTCAAGCACTCCAGTAAGGTTTGTCTCGACAGGTAAATAATCATCATTATATGATATGAGAGAAAAAAGCTTCCTTCCCTTATCTACCTTTCGAAAAAAGACAGAAAACAAAGTTACAGAACTTACATGCCATTAACATGACAGCTATCACCATCTTCAGACTTCGTGTGCTCCATATTCTTGCAACTAAAGTCTTCTGAGCTCTGCCGCAGCTCTTCAGCCCGATGACTGGACAAGACTGCAGCAGTTCTTTCAATCTCTATGGCCTGATCTAGACTACCAGAAGTACCCGAAATACTGAACAGCTTATCACAACTGTTGGCCCCAGTGTTCAGTAAATCAAACTTGGCAACATTCTCTTCATCTTCTCTATGCAATGGTTGTTCTGATAAGACGTTATCTGATCTCAGTGTAACTGCACTCACCTCAGCTCGAAGGGGTATGTGCCCGACAGATTGAATTTGCTTTGCAGATGCAGCAACCAGATTAGCTGACGGTGAAATGCAAGCATCACTTCCATCAAGACAGTTTCCATCACTAGCAACAACTTCCTCCTGCTTTTGGATTTCAATATTTTGATGGAAACTGTCCGATTCTTGACTAAGCTTTGCAGTTTCTTCTAAACCTTTGGGGCTTAAAGTAATAGAAAATGAAGGAACATGATCCTTAGGAGCAAGGTTGCCCAAAGAATCTGAAGGAGGCACTCTAGAACCATTGCTAACATTGCTTTCAATCGCTAAATGAGGAGAACTCCGAACAGATGAACAACTTTGTGTGGCTAATAATGCGCCATCAGAAGATGGACTTTCTTGAGCAACATTGGCTGACATAGCTTCAAGAGCTCGGTGAAGGCGCTTAGAGGGAGGTAAAGCAGCTTCAACATCTGTCGAACCAACATTTGACTGATTCGTCGTATCTTTCCATGGTTGATGTCTGAATTCCGGAGATTGTATACAATTGTCTGATGGTGAAACATCATCTGAAGCTTCTTTTGTCATTGGTTGATCAACATCGTCACAATCTAAAGACGAGCTGCTCTGCACCGGAGGATTTGCAGTACCTTCTGCTGATACTTTCTCCTCTGTAGGAGAAGAGGTATTAATGACAGCTTCTGCAGTTGATAATTTGCCCATGCGTACCCTAGCTCGTTTCAATAAGGGTAAGTGCTCATCTCCATCTTCCCTCGGACATTCACAATCAGGAGCACTTTCTGAATTTTGACCAGTGCCCTTACTTGCAACATGTGAAGGTTCCGTGTCATTTAAAGTGGGTTCAGTACCATCATTGAGTGCTCGCTTCCTGTTTAGTTTTCTTTTTTTTCTGAGCACAACAGCCTTTATCTTGAGGTCAAGCCCTTTGTTCAATTCAACATCTCCCTCCACGGATTCAACCGGAGTCTCAGAGTGCAAAGGTCTACAACTAGAATCAACAGCACTGCCTTCATTACTATTAGAATCTGAGTCCATACTCAGTATTTCAGAGCCGTTGTCATCTATGCTTCCATTTGGAGGACAAGTAGGAGAATCCATATCACTCCCTTTAGAAACATCTAGAGTTCTCCTTGTTCGTCTACTCTTTCTCATGGAACCTTCATGGACTGTAGTTGACGACAGAACCCCAGCAATCTTTTCACCGTCTTCACATGGCACAGAATTGTCATGTTTAGAGGATTCCAACCTTGCGGAACTTCTAGACCTTCTAGCCGAAGGTGCTCTTCCTTGTGCAATAGAACTCTCCAAGCGCGACCTCCCTGATTTCCTTCTCAAAGTATAAGTTGATAGAGGACGAGTTTCAGTGACTGCCCCATCATCAGTTTGATCCTCTGATGCTCGTGTATCATTCAAATTATCTACTTCTGCACCTATGTCATCCTTACCAGACGGATTCTGCTCATTTTCTACTGTCACTTTTTCATTTGAACATTTTGATTGAAAATTGGAAGTTCCTGCAGCAGCTCCTGTCAGATCCTTCAATGGCAAGTCTGGTGAGGACGCCACTGTATTCCCTCCATTTGTCGCATCAAACTCATTTTCAGTTTTTAAATCATTGTCTTGTTCCTGCTTCTTTAGCTTCTCATAACTATCTATAATCTCCTGAACTGCTCGTACAAAATCAGCACCCTTGCCCTGACGTTTGACAAGAAGAGATTGCTTTTTCTCTTCTGTAAACGCTTCCACATCGGCAGGATTACAGAATGCTCTACAGGGAAAAAATCCAATTCAAAGCCCAATAAACTACAACAAATGTATAATAATAAAAAGAAACAATCAAAACTCAGTACGAACAAATACAAAGCTATTTTCTTAAAATATATGTGTGTGTGTGTGTGTGTATTGGATAGAACAGGTGACCAAACAATCCAACTAAACCTAAAGGGCATAGAAAAGATACAATAGAAAAACAGTCGCACTCTATTTTGTACCATATCCCTCCACAAGATTCACACTAAATCTTCTTTAGCGCTTCTAGTTTTCATAATAACAATGCCCCCTTAGAGGACATGATCACTCACAAAAAGTTACAATCTAGCGTGAGCTTTCAAAGTAGCCTTAAAACATACTTTTAAGTCCCGCCTATGTTAATCTTTCACTCTATCCAAGAACAATGAACTAAAACCTATATCCTCAATCAACTTATTTCTAATGCTGTTTCTTCATGTAGAACCCTGAATCATCATCTCCTTGCCAATTGTAAGCTTCCAACGGTTTGTTCCATAAAGCATAGCCAAACTTAAGACAGTTAGAAAACTTTTCCCTAAGTTCAGGTAATTTTTTTTTCAAGGCAGAAGACACAAAATTCGTGTCCCACCACAAGTCAGAAGAAAATAATATTTTACCATCCATCAGTGATGTGGAAGTGGAACCACGAGTCTTCCAATAAAAGGTACCATTTTAGTAGCAGCACTCTTAAAAAAAAAGTCCTATGTGACATTAAGAATCAGACGAACTATAGCCTAGATCATTTTTATGGAAATTTACTAAAAGGACATCCCAATAAAATGCTGCATTGGAGAAAAGGGAATCTGGTCACAGGTACCACTCAAAGTAAGACAAACGGTTGGTTCAGCAAATAAAGCATATCTGTAGATAATGAGCCGATCATTCAAGTAAAAGGCAATGTTCTCGATAATCTCATAAAATGTAATCATCACTCGGGGTGTGTATCCACTCTTTTGCCAAATGCATTTAAGAGAAATTTGAGGTACTTGACAATATGAATTGAACCCAAAAAATGCTTTTGGAATAATCTTCTACATAACCAAGACCGAAACATCCCATCCTTTGCACCAAAGGGAACAAGGGAGTCAATACACAATAGCTTACTGATGCTTAGCTCCCCATTAGACAAAACCCCCATTGCCAAAGCCTTGGGCCCCCCAACTTCTCATCTAAATCAAAATGACTTCATTCCCTCTTGTCTGCCATCTCTGTATATATCCATATCTTTAGGTCCACCCATGCATGAGCATTTCCCACAACACAGATTTTGTACCAAACTAACTTTTCATTCACAGTTCACCATTTAAAAACAGTGTCTCTGAACATAAAGCAGAGCACAATACAAATTAGATTCAATGAAACTTTTCCCTTGTCTAGAATATATTCCTACAAGCCTTCAATTTGCCAGGGTCATGTTCCTCTAATTCCTCCCTTCCCTGTTATTATAACCGCAGACTAATTTCTGACATGATATCCTTTTCCCGGGTTCTTCTAAATAGCTAACTGTAACAATAGTTGCCGTTGTCAAAAAAGTTTTATTGCACTGGAAAGACTGTACCATACTCGCGTCAGATGAATCAATCAGCATATAAAGTGTGAGAAACAATGTCAATTTTATATCAATACCACTCCACTGAAAGGTTGCCTATGGCAAACTATAAACAAGGAGATCAAAATTTCACTCCCACAGAAAAATTCCAACCACCCACAAAACTTCCCTACTAGGAGAAGGTTTTATGACTAACAAAGCTGATCCATTCAAATAACTTGCTCACTAAGTACAAGCAATTGAGACCCCATATGGTCCACAAAGAAAAATTCAGTGCAGTAGTATGCATATACATCAAGTCAGGAAGAAGGAGCAGGCTGAGGTAGAATTATGGAAAAACTTACTACTCATCCTTCTACAGGAGTTTTACCCACAAAAAGTACATACTTGTCAAATTGAGATATGAATAGTGGAATCAAAGTGCTAGAATTCATCAAAATAGAATAGGAATGTTTGACAAAGAACCTATAATAATATTTTCATAACACAAGGTGAAAACAATTTGGTTCTACGCCTAGAAACAGAAGCTATGCTCATTGTTTTATATCAAGTGACTGAGACTTGAGGGGCTGAAGATATATAAAAAAAAAGTCAAATAGTGCCTTCACTGGTCTTTTCAAAAAAGCTTTGACAGGATATTCATTTTTGTATACGTAGTTTAGGATACCATTTTTCCAGTTATAGAATTAGGAAAGACGAAAGAAACAAGGAATTTATCCTTCTCTCTTCAACTTAAGAAATGGAAGCTTTAAATCCTACCAAAAATGGAATATATAGCAGGATCTTACGGTATGTTTTGTTGAACATGCCATTTTTTAATTAAGTAGTTTATGAACCAATTTCCAGTTACCCAATAAGACGACAAAAGAAATAAGGAATTTTTCCTTCTCTCTTCAACTTAAGGATGGAAGCTTTAGATCCTACCAAAAATAGATATGACAAGAAACATAATTTTCTTACTGAAAAATTCCATTGCCCTTCTAATCTCCCCTGAAAATCTGTGGATAAAGTAGTGAGATTTACGTAGCTCGCCATTCTTTCCATTCCTCAAGTAAACAAGTAAATTGATTTCTTCTTGTTTGTTAAATAGAAACAGACTAACAACTTTCTATCTTCCCGAAGTTTACCAAAAATTGAGTCAAAGTTGTGATAAAAAGATATTGAAAAGCATATTACATCCATTACCACAAGCATCATTGTAAAGTACTTTTTTGGAGGGGATAGAGAAATATAGAGCAAATTGCATAATTATAGCAATATAGGAGAGGAATACATACAAATAATACACATCCAAACATCATTTAATGACTAACCAAATCCACTCTGAAACAAAGATGTGAAGGGGCTACCCCAAGAAAGTCGGCCTCATTTCAACCTTTTTCATGGCATCTCTAATTACCAACTCCAATCTGTACTCATATGATTTCTAACCCAGGAGCCAAATGGCACATAAAAGGACATTGTATGATGCCAATGTCGGCAGAAGCTCTACCAATATACCAACAATTAAAAAACCCAGCCGAGAGTAGTAGGAAGAAACAGGAAAGAAAAACCAAAACCAAAGTTCCAACCTCAAATGTATCTTCTCATCTGCATAATCAAACCAACAATCTATGTGGTTAATCCTAACTAGACACTAATCAGCTCTCCCTAGCCTCTAACAAATCAAAATGCAAACTTTCAGCTTGATCAGCCAGCCTAAAGGATCCCTCAAGGCCACCAGTCACAACCATCCAACAACAAATTTGAGACCTCCAAATCCCCATCAACTACTCTCAAGAGTCATAACTAATTTAATTTTGTTCCACTTAATTTGAGGAACAAAGAAGGTGTCTTCATTTGTTGGATAAAGTTCGGAAAGGAGCATGCATAGCATTCTTAGGCCAAACCGTTAAATGACTATGGCTCTAATATAGACAAGAATCATTGCGCTAACTTTTCTTTTCACATCTTGCAGCTAAATGAAAAGGAAGTATGAGAAGATAATGCAACTTTTCATAGACTGGACATTAATTAAAACATCTGAAATCTTTACCCACATTCCTCCTGGGAAATGTCAGTAACAATCAAGTACATAATACACAGATGACAGAACCCGTTGAAAGAAACTAAGACAGAACAAAGTGAGAAATCGCGGGGAATAGAGGAGCTCTAGATGCCAAAAGAGAAAGCCATACAAACAGAAAACCTTAAGATTACTCCTCATCTTCTCAAATGCTCAACTTACCAATTCCTTCAATTGGCACCGCACAACAACCCGCCCTGCCCCCCAAAATAAAAACAAAAACAAATATCCAACTGCACACGCAGCCATGCGCTATTGTCATAGCATGCTTAGAGACTCATCCGCCTCCAGAACATGCCTGATTTATTTAAGCAGCTCAAAGCCATTAACCAAATAAGGCTTCTTCAAAAAGTTAACATATCAATCCATTCCCCTATCCACCAACATCTCAATAGAAAACAAATGGCCAGTGGCACTCATTAACAAGAGCTCTGAGCCTCTCTCTCTCACACACACATACACCTGCGCATGCGCATGCACGTAGGAGGTTTTATTTTTATCTAAAATGATAGATCTTCTCAATAGACGGGACGTCAGTGACAACACGTGGCTTTTAATGGCAATTCACCTTCTGAAGTACATTGTGAAATGAAGATAAGGGATTCCTCAGGAACCATAATTGTCAATTACATAAACTCTCCCCTTTGTTAACTTCTAGCCAATACAACACCACAACATAGCAATTCAAGTGAAACAATATAATCTTCCAACAATCAGAAATAGCGTAACTTTCATTCTGAAGACTCTCAATCTACCACTCAGTCTAGTTAATTATTTGACCAAATTTGTGACCTATTTCACAGGGCAAAGGTTGCATCATGCAGAAAACTAGAACAAATGTTTGCACATGTGCCAGAAAGATGAGAATATATAAAACATGGTGAACCAATTTATAGAGATCACTGACATGGTCCATTCAAACTTACATTTGTTGGGTTCCAAAAAAATATACAAGCACTTTCTTCCAGTCTGCTGAATAGCCCCATTTCTCTGGCTCACTTACCTGCGCAATGAAAGTAAAATTTAGTTAACTGGAGTCCAGACAAGAACTACTTGTACATGTACAGTGCAAGGCAGTTAAAAGAGATAAGACAGAAGGGCAGGGGGAAGATCTATTATGGTAAAAAAATGCTTTGCACAAGCAGGAGAATCCTCTGTATGGGCATAACATCAATAGGGCCATTTAGCCTATAACACGAGGTAGTTCAGAGACATAGCACAGACATTCTCAACTTCTAAACAAACAAGTTACGGATACTTCTCCAAGACATTTCAGGCTAGAAACAGGAACCACATGCATCATCAGATGTAAACATGAAAATGGACCTCCAACATGAAATAAGCCGAGAAGAATTACTAGCCTAGCAATTGACCTTACTATTACAATATAAAGTTAGCCCAGATATGAGAATTTCTTATTCCAGATTCCTACAATTTGAACTGAACACATCATATGAGCTGAAAGGAAATCGTCAACAATCGCGAGATGATTAAAGAACACCAGCTGAAGCCAGAGATATTAATCAAGCACACTTTTGACCTATCCCATCGATCGAACTCAATTTCTCAAACTATTGAGGTACCTAAACAAACTTAGCCAGCTACGGAACACCTCATACAAGAGAAAAAAGGCTCCCCAACACTTATGCATGCCAAAAGTCACCTAAAAACCCTAGAGATGGCATCTTTTCTCAGCTCCGCAATCATCAAAAAACCACAAATTCTCAGATAAATATCCACAAAAACATGCACAAAAGTGGAGCGCACATACCGTGGCAGGCCAAGCGGGGAAACCTTTTACTTTCGCAAGCACGAGATCGCCGACCTTCCATTGCCGCCGAGCGGCGGCGGCGGCGGCGGCGGCCTTGCTCGCCCCCCTCCTGCGACTCGGTGCCATCGGAAGAAGAATCTCGTGGCGGCGGCGGCGGCGCCAAAACCAAAATTAAGCCACGCAATTTCGATTCACATGAAATCCCGCACGCGAACGCGCCGACACCGCCAAGCCGCCCCCGAGACGAAGCCTGAATTCCCCGGGCGACGATGCGGCGGCGCCGATTGTAGGCATTGAAGGACGCGGCCACCGCGGCGAGGGACTGTACAATCACGAAGAGAGAGAAAGAGGGAGAAGGAGATAGAGAGAGAGAGTGAGTGACTGTGTACGTTCGGAACCCTAGCGAGAGCTCGAGGAGCGAGGGAGAGAGAGAGAGAGAGAGATGGAGAAACGAGAGAGAATGGGATTAGTGGAAGAACAGATATGAGTTCGGCTCTCCCGTGGTTGCTAGAGTGCGCCGGTGGGCGCAGGTTAAGGCGCGTGGGGGCGACGGCTAAAGTGCGCCCGGGTGCTGATGGAACGGTCAGGAGGTGGTCAGAGATACTGCGCACCGATGGCACGTGACCTACCGACTAAGGATTACGTATCTAAACGATCAGTTCAACTTCAAATGCTAAAAACCAAAAAAAGTTCGATTGCAGTGAATCTTTAACGTTAATTAGTTAGGATAGCAGTTAAAATAACTCTTTTTCCTATTTTCCCCTCACAATTCCAAATATTATATAAATCCCAATTTATATATAAATTTTACATAATTATATACGATAATTTTTAATGGTATTAAGTTTTTACATCGGAAAAAGCAAAATGTTGTATGTCTTGACACTCGAAAAGCTCACGAGTGAAAAGTAATGATCACTCCGAAGACAAACATTCTTAAAATTACTTACTACCAATTGTGATTTTGAATTCTAACCCAAAAAATAATTGTGGATCAGTTGGGGTCGAGCTAGGCGTAGGAGGCATCTTATTTTGATAATTATTGCATTGTGAAGGGACTGAAAAATACCAAAATTCGCATGATCAAATACTTTAAGTGAGCGCTTCGTTTGAGGTTTAAATTAAAATTTTCCTATTAAAATTTGAAAAGTTATTAGACTTACAAAAAATTTATGAAAGAATTAGGATGGCTTTAGCTTTTTTTTTTTTTATGACCCAGGAACCCCCGCACGGCCGACAGCCGGAAGGGTAAACCTGGGGTGACGCTAGCGCAGGACCCACCACCATGGCGCCACACTTAAGAATCCCAGGATGGCTTTAGCTGTTGTGGACCAAATAATCAAAGAATTACTCATTGATTTGCTTGCTAAAACTTAATTATAATTCAATCTCCAGTAGAATGTAAAATTTTTTTTATATAAACATGTGTTGATATTTGTATCAAGGTCAAATTATGCGAGCTCGAAAAGTAAAATTAAAAAATAAAAATCACTCCGGATAAAGTTCTTTATCAAAAAGAAACGGTTTGATTTTAAATCCCAAAAGTTAGAGAATATTTTTCGCCGATTCAAAAGGATTGATTAGAGCAAATGGAGTAGCCATGCTTATGATCTCAACTCTGCCGCCTCTATTGTCTCTTTTTTATTAGTCGTTTGTTATTTTTTCTTTTTACAAATCTCTTTCCTTTTAGTCTCAAACAAACATAAGATTTTGTATAACTTAGTTTTTTTCCTCTTTATTTAATTGCTTGGTAAATCTAATTATTGAAAAATATGTTTGATTTTCAACTTACTTTTAAGCGTAGAAGGGTATTTTAATTGCATTTTTTTTCAAAATCAATTCATTAAGTACCATTTATGAGTTTATTTTAGAAAATTCAAATCTAGATGAGAAATTGATGTATAATAATATTTTTTTCAGACGATATGATTGCCATGACTTTGATGATATATGATTAAATTTTAACAAAACTATTCTTTTCAAAGAATAGATTATTATATTGAAATAATCTATTAGCCAGAAAAATGTGTTATATTGAATGATTTGTTTGTTCCACGGAAAATAAACGATTTAGAAAATATTTTTCTAAACATGATCGCTTGTTTCCCTTGGTAAAATGAATGGACAAATAATATTTTCAATCATCCATGAAAATGTATAGAAACAAATTATTATCGACAATGAAAATATTTTTTATTGACTAAATATATCAAGTGATATTAACAATTATTTTTAAAAAAAAAATTTCTAAATCATTCATTTCCTGATAAACAAACGAAGCCGAGAACAAAATTTCGCCGCGGCATTCTGCAACTCAAGAGTGACTCGTGCTCAACTGTTACAATAGTAGGTAAATTTGGACCAACAATTATCACTTGGAAAAGACTCTTAGAACTCTTGACTATGAAGGTGTCATTTATGCTGATCTTACTTCCAATCTTTAGCCACCTTCAGCAACAGTTAGAGTTAACCTCACCCACTACATTAGCCTCTTAAATGCTCATGACAACCTTTTAATGATGTAAATTGAAGTATGCTGAGCAACTCTAATACATATAGAAAGCATCAGCTTTTGTATTTGTTTTTGTTTTGTTTGATACCAACATGCTATCCATTTACTGATTCTTTTTTATGATCCAGGACACGAGTGCAAAGACCTGGCTAAACACCTTGCATATCTCACGAGTCGATTAAATTCAAGCCTTTGGCGTTTGATGTTATTTTACTGACGGGACGATATTATTTTTGTTATGATAATCGGTGGATTCCAATTATCATTACGAAACTAATAGTCTTTTCAAGCATTTTCTCCCTTTTCCACGTATTTTTTCCTAAATGGTCAGTTAAGGTTTTGGCAATGAAATCTGTCCAATGTTCAACTCATATAAAAGGAAGGATTAATACCACGAAAAACTCTAAACTGGTACACCCGTGATAATTTTACCCCGAACTAATTTTTTGATCATAAAAAACCCAACTCTGGTACACTTGTGATAATTTTACCCTGAACTAATTTTTTGACGACCAAAAATCCAAACTGGTATACCTGTGATAATTTTAGCAAAAACTAATTTTTTGACCATCAAAAACTCCAAATTGGTACATTTGTGACAAATTTACTCTCGTTAGTGTTCGTTAAATTGGATTAATATCACGAAAAATCACAAATTGGTAAACTTGTGACAAACAGAGGGGTAAAACCCCTAACTGATACACCCGTCAACTACCACGTGTCATTAAACTTAGCAATTTGACGGTAAAATTTAACGGAAACTAACGGAGGGTAAATTTGTCACGGATATCCAGTTTGAGGTTTTTGGTGATTAAAAAATTAGTTCGGGGTAAAATTATAATGAGTGTACCAGTTTGGGATTTTTTATGGTCAAAAAGTTAGTTCGAGGTAAAATTATCATAGGTGCACCAGTTTGGGGTTTTTCGTGATATTAACCCTAAAAGGAACAAATTATCTGATGAAATTTTTTTAGCACTCTCTTTGAACTCGCGCTCGACCTTTCGTTCTCTGATAATATATGCAAGTGAAGAGCTCTATTACATACGCGACAGGGGAAAGTTTTCCTTTAATATGCCCGAAAACTAGATTGAAGTACCTACCTTAAACCACAATGTACAAAAGGGCAACGGAGAGATCTGTTTCTTTCTATTTCTTGTGTAACAGAAGCCACTTATTGACGAGGGTTATCATCACGACACTGGTCTTTTCATGCATTTTTTCAATCACCGTTTGTCATTACAATTGTCGAAATCCATGAAAAGACATGGCACATAATAGATACCACTTAAGTATGAGGATTGTTGTTTAGTGACGACGACCATCAAATCAATGGTCTCTTCACATACTTTCCGTGTGTCTGCTTGTCTTTTTTAAGTTATAAATTAAATTTTCGGCACGATAGGATCAAGTCTAGAGCCATGCAAAGGCATCTATAGCAATTTGCTCATACTTTCTGAAATTGAAAGTCCCGTATCTGTTCTATAAATTGAGTTAAGATTATCGGCTTACAAAGCTACAATACAACACTTGCATATGAAAGTCCCGTGTTTGTTTTATAAATTGAGTTAGGATTATCAGCATACAAGACTACAATACAACTCTTGCATTATTTGGGAAAAGTACTGAAAAGTCATAGACATATTACATTTGTACCAATTCAGTCTTAAACCTTTCAATTTGATCAATTTAATCCTAAATATTTTCATATTGGTACCAATTGAGTCCATCAGGCCAATTTAGGCCGGAAGTTATTAACATGGATGCCGGTCATCCAACATGACACGGTTAATCCACATTGACAATTTTTATAATTTTTAAATAATTTTTCGAATTTTTGAATTGATCTTTTCAAAATTTTCTCTTTTTTTCTTTTTTTTTTCCTTTCCTTTTTTTCTTTCCTTTTCTTCCTTTGGCTTATGGCCGGTAGCCGGCCATGGCCGAGCACTGACCACATGCCGACAACCGGCCACAGGCCAAAGAAAAAGAAAAGGAAAAAAAAGAAAGAAAGAAAAAGCAAAATGAAAACGAAGAAAAGGGAAAATTTATTAAAAATTAATCAAAAAAATATTAAAAAATTATCCACATCAGTGCTGGCCGTGCTATGTAGAACGATTGATGTTCACATCAGCAATTTTGGGGCCTAAATTAACTGGATGGACTGAATTGGTACCAATGTGAAAATGTTTAAGACTAAATTGGTCCAATTGAAAAGTTTAGGATTGAATTAATATAAATACAATAGGTTTAGAACTTTTTTATAATTTTCCCAATTTGACTCCCAAGCTACTAAAAGCTGAATTGGGTTACCATCTGATGGGCTGATCATTACCATTTGGCCATTTTCTTTTTGTGGTTCCTTTTTCGTTTGGAGTTCATACATCAAAACAAGTCGTTCTTCTATTTCATTGTCGGTGGATGCACAAATGTTTGTTGGATTTCTCGAAGTGGTAGGAAACATGAATCTTTCATGTGTAACGATGACTATTATCAATGACGATCGGAACAAACCGATGGTCTCCTCATGCATTTTCTCGGGTCAAGCTGTTCGTCCGTTTCGAGTAACTTGTAAAGTTTTCAGTACCATCGAGTCTAAGCGTCGATCCATGCAAGTATCCGCCCGTTGTATCTGCTGAATGTAATAGGATCCCGTAACGTATGACGATCCTTTGATTACTGAAACGACGGTCATCGGGTTAACGGTCGCCTCACGCGTTTTTCTCGCCGGTGCTTGTTTGTCTGTTGTGAAAAGTTTGGTTGTGGTTTGGCCGCCGTAATGTCCAAGTGTCAATCCATGCAAAGATACCCTATCACATCACAACCACCCCGTCCGTGTTTTCCGAGCCGACATCCCAAAAATGTGATTTGGAAGTCTTGTCTATTTGTCCGTTTTGGTTTTATTTATTTGAAACTTTTAACGTGGTTCGAG